ATAGTCCAGAAAGTTCTCTACCCAGATGTCCCCTATTAAACTCTTACATCTGTATGGTACATTTGTCACATTTAATAAGCCAAAAAAGATTTTGATGTAGTAGTCGTAGTAGCGTTTGAAGCTTATACATTATGTAGATTTCAAAGTTTTTTTGTACCTAGGTCCCATTCAGGGGCAGTACATTGAGTTATCTTGTCTCATTGGGAGTCTCTTGGCAGTGGCAGTTTCTATTTGTTTCATTTTGTTTTGTTTTAAATAAGGGAACATATTATCCCCTGCCCCGGCTATGAAGCCCCTTAACACGGTGTGTCCTAGTTCACCTTTTATCACCATAACAAAACACCTGAAGTTAGCCAGGTATGGTGAAGCATCCTGTGACCCCAGCACTCAGGACGCTGAGGCAGGGAGACTGCTGTGAGTTTCAGACCAGGCTGGACTATACGGGGAGTTCAAGGCCAGCCTGGACTATACAGTAAGACTTCATCATAAACAACAACAGCAAAAACAAAACATAATGAGCAAAGAGACAAAACAAATTGAGCGTAGATAACTTTATAGAGAAAAGAGTTTTATTTAGTTCACAGTTCTGGACGTCAAGGACCCTCGTCTGATGATGGTCTTCGTCAGGTGGCACAGGGCATCCCATAGCAAGGAGCAGGGAGCATGTGTGTGTCTCTCTGGCCGCTCTCTTGGTCATGGGGCTCCTCTTTTGTGACCTCATCTAGTCACCTCCCAAAGGCCCCACCTCTGCATACCATAATCAGATCTAGTTTCTGCCCTCTCAGTATTCAGATTGTGTAGTGTTAGTTATTTATTTATTTATTTATTTATTTATTTATTTATTTATTTATTTTTGCAGAACTGGGGATTGAACTTAGGCCCTTGCGCTTGCCAGGGAAGTGCTTATTCCACTGAGCCATCTTCCCGGCCCCTGTGTAGTGTTATTGAAGACAGTTTATCTTGGGAGTGCAAGTAGCTCTTGGAGAGATAGCTCAGCGACTTAAGTACCTGCCTGGCAAGTACAAGGTCCTGAGTTCGATTCCCCATGTCAAAAAAAAAAAAAAAAGGAAAGAAAGAAAAAGAAACTCTGTCACAAAGGAAAAAATAAAAATCTGTTAGTACTATTTAAATCATTAACAGACTTAATTAAAACTTATGTGTCTATCTCAGTTAATGCAGAAAAAGCATTTATAAAGAAAGGTTCAGGTCCTGTTTGCAGGATAAAACAAATATCTTAGCAAAGTACAAATAGAAAGAAATTTCCTTAGTTTGGTAGTGCCTATGTAGCAAAAATCTAACAAATGTTACAGCTAAAAAGAAATTTTTGATGCATAATTGTTAAGATCAGGAACAGGGAAGAGATGACATCAATCTACACTACAATTTAAACATAGAACTCAAGCCCTTTGCCAGTGCCATAAGAAAAGAAAACAGCAGTGAAAGACAAGAAAGGAAATCTTTCCTCAAAAAACAAAATCGATAAGAAAACTAAAGAGAAAGCTCACTGATCATGCCAGATACAAAATCTCTATGATTTTTCTTCATAGCAGAATCTAACTGTAAAACACATTGAAAAAAAAAATGGATATTGTTCAAAGGAGCAACAGAGCATATCAATTCCCAAAAACTTAACATAAAATGCAGAAAAAAGTCTTAAAATCACTGTTCAGTTTGGCAGCCTCTAGTCACATGTAGCTATTTATTTTTAAATATATTTGGTACACTGTCTCACTACACAGCTCAGACTGGTAGTGATCCTCCTGTTTTCAGCCTCCCCAGCACTGGGATTACAGGCATGCACCACCATGCCCGGTGTTGGTGGCCTGCTCAGCACATTCGGGGACGGGACAGTGTGGCATGCGGTACCAGGGATTGAACCCCTGTCCCTACGCTTGCTGAAGCAGTTGCTTAGTTCACTGAGCTATCTCACCAGATCTTGTAGCTATTTAAGTTAAATTAAATCTTCAGGCCCTAGTCACATGAGCCATCTTTCAATTGCTCACAGCCATAGATAACTAAGGACCACCACAACTAAGCAGCTCAGAGACAGAACATTCCTTTCGGACACACTGCCATACAAAGTGAAAGATAAGCCACTAAACTTGAAGGCTTATCCTCAAACATTTGCAGAGGGGACCCATAGACAAGCAGGGACTGGAGTCTTTGTGAGGCAGATTTGGCTCAAACTGCTGAAGAATGGAATGGGCTACCTGCTTAGATAGCGAACTCCCAGATGCAGGAGGTAATCAAGGCTGAATGGTGGCTTCAGCAGTTGTTTCAGGAGTGGCTTCTGATCAGGGCAGATGGAGGCTCGCTAAGCATCGCAGGTCCTTTCCACTTGAAAATCTCTGCCTTGCATCTCACTGTAGGCCCATCAATGAACCAAGTTGACAGTGAGCCAGTAATATCAGGAACAGTCACAGCATTTCTAAAATCCAGTAGAAGGGCCGGCTAAATAGCTCACAGGATTAAAGCGCCTGCAAGCCGGCACAGGTGCCAGGGGTTCAATCCCCAGGCCTGCCATGCTGGCCCTGCCCCCCAGGGCATGCTGAGACAGTGATTGAGATTGGGCATGATGGCGTGCACCTGTAATCCCAGCACTTGGGAGGTTGTAAACAGAAGGATCACCATGAGTCCAATCTACTAGTGAGACCCTGAACACCCTGTAGGCCCTTCCCTAAAAATACAAAAAATAAAATAAAACCCAGTAGAGCCAGATGTAGTGGTATATACCTGCAGTCCCAGCTACTCAGGAGGCTGAGGCAGGAAAATCACTTGAAGTTTGAGCCCTAGCTGGGAAGCATAGCAAGACCGCATCTCCCAAAATAAATAAAATAAAGCATAGCATGTTCAATGAAAGTAGATCTATGTCTTTAAACAAGTGATCACAATAGCTACCATTTATTAAGAACTTGCTGTGACCATGAACTATCCCAAATATTTTATATATTTCATGTTGTCCTTTGAACGCTGATAAAGATATAATTTGAATTTAACATATTTTTAAAACTAAGGCTCAGAGAAGGTGAGTGAGTTATGTAAGGATGCACAGGAAATAAAAAAGCAAAGCTAGAATTCAAGCCCAAGTCCATCTGATTCCTAGTCCCACACTCTCAGGGCCCCAACACTGAGGGAGTCTTTGCTCTCAAATACTACAGGTTGGATCAGCCTCTAGAATGAACAGTCTTAGCATCTGGGAACAGAAACCCAGGGCATGCCAAGTCTTCTAGAGGGGTGAAGATCTTGGCTTTAAAAAAAAGTCCAAGGCCAGCCAGATAGCTCAGCAGACTAAAGCGCCTGCTTGGGCAGAGCACAGTGGCCAGGGTTCGATTTCCGGCATTCTGTGCCAGCTCCGACCCGAGGACACACTGAGACAGCGATTGAGACTCCGCGTGGTGGCACGCACCTGTAATCCCAGCACTTAGGAGGCTGAAAACAGGAGAATCACTATGAGTCTGACCTACATAGTGAGACCCTGTAGATCTTATACTAAATACATAACATTAAAAAAAAATTCCAGACCACCCCCAGGATCAGAAAAAGACTGGAGGCCAACATTATGTTCTCCCAAGGTTTCAGGGAATGGTTCACCCCACCTTTGGCCTCAGGCCCCCTCTTCATCCTCTCCTCCTTGCAGCTCGGAACTTTGATGTGCAGAAATCTGAGGACATGCTCCGCAAGGTGAGGCCCCACAATGGCCAGGTCCTGCTTCTCGCACGCTGTGCCTGGATCACAAAAGGCCTCGTTCTCTGTTTCTTCTTCTTCTTTCCCTGGGGCCCCTTCCTGCATCAGACCCAGGGTCTTCCTTGAGCCTTCTCCTGTCTCCAGTCTCAGCTTTCTGTGGGCGTGGGGGTGCGCTGGCAGCATCTTGGTGGCTGTGGGCACCGGGACCCAGCCTGTATTCTTGGATGCCTATAGAGGCCTTTGGGGAGGAAAGTGTTCAGGCTGTGTCTCTATAGCATGTGGAGTTCCGGAAGCAAATGGATCTGGACAACATTCTTGCCTGGCAGCCCTCAGAGGTGAGTCCATGGAGCACCCCGACTATCTGGTGTACCCTCTTTTACTCCTCTCCACCCTCTGCCCCCAGCCACTTGATGAAACAGGGACCCTGCCTGGTGGGCTGGTCTGATTCAGAACTGACCCATGTGCCCAGGTGATCCAGCTTTATGACTCGGGCGGCCTGTGTGGCTATGACTATGAAGGCTGCCCCACCTGGTTCGACATCATTGGGACCATGGACCCCAAGGGCCTCCTCCTGTCGGCCTCCAAGCAGGATCTCATCCGGAAGCGAGTCAAGGTCTGTGAGCTGCTTATGCACCAGTGTGAGCTGCAGACTCAGAAGGTGAGTGATGGACCAGCAGGGGTGAGGTGCACAGCAGACCTGGTCCAGCCACCCTGCCCCTGCCCTTTTCCACAGCACGCAGCACTCAGGGCTCTGGTGGAAAGTGGCCTTCTCCTGCCATCACTTCTCCCTGCACATCTTAATGTACTCAAGGTGGTCTCTGTTGCCATTGAATTCAGGGTGACCAGAGCCCTTTTCCATCTCTGTGAATCACTGACCTGGGAGCAGGAAAAGCTCTGGGTCCTGGGGAGGCTGGGAATGGCAGGCACTCAGCTTTGGTATGGAAAAGACAACCTACCTTTGTAAATGGTGAAGAAACAGTGACCCTGGAATTAGGTGCACATGGTAACAATGAACATTTTAGAGCTTTCCATGCTAACAAATGGCTTGCTGAGGTACACATGACACAGGTTCACCACCACTGCCCTAGAAGCTTCTAGGGAGTTCCATAAGAAATCATGAATTGGTGTGGTTTAGGGGTAGTGTATTTCCCAGCCTGTGTAAGACCCCGAGTTCCATTCCCAGTACCACAAGAAAATAATCCTAAGGGGCTCAAGATTTCTGAGACAAGAAGGCTCCCTTTGTAGATTTCCACCCCTTGCCTTTGAGCTGCACTCTGACCCTCAAATCCTTCATATTGAATCTGATGTCAAGTCTGATCTTGTTGGTTTTATGAGTCTACAAAGACGATCTTCTTAATGGAGTTGATATGTCACTGTGGCATGATTTGTTTTTGTTTTATTTTGTTGAGGTAGGGTCTCACTATGTAGTGTAGGCTGGCCTTTGAACTCAGCTATATAGTCCAGGCTGGCCTCGAACTCATGGTAATCTTTCTGCCTCAGCCGCCCAAGTGCTGGGATTATAAGCACGTACCATCATGCCGGCTGTGGCATGATTTAGCTGGACACAAAATCAGCTCTTAGCGGAGTCCTGTAACAGGTGAGTGAGGTGCAAAGAGCTGGATTTAGTACCTGCTTTGGATAGGTGTATGTCTCTCCAATAGGATAGCTGATTTGTTGTTGCTGTCTTTTGAAGACAGGGTTTCTCTATGCAGTTCAGTTCAGACTGGCCTTGAACTCACTTAGATAGCCCAGGCTGATCTCAAATTCTCAGTGATCCTCCTGCCTCAGCTTCCAGAGTGCTGGGGTTATAGGCATGCACCACCATGCCCAGCAGGATGACTGTCATTACAGGGTTGATACAATGTCTTTTATCTCATGGATGAGCCTACTAGGAGCTGATAATTATGGAGATTAAGATACTAACATAATCTACTTGTAGTTTTCAGGGGTCAGCTATGTCCCCAGCACTAGGCTCTTTGTGTATCATTTTATTGAGTTATCATAGTAATTCTATCAGAATGTAGAGTTATTCCCATTTTACAAAGAAAGAAAGTAAGGCTCAAAAAGGTTAAAATCTCACTCATTGCCAAACAACCTGCCAAAACTATGACTCTGGCTTGGACACAGTTATGGCACCATAGAACAGTAGCCAATATAGTGCCATCACCCCTTCATATCTTGGGGAAAAAATGGATCTGTACTGAACATACAGATATTTTTCTTGTCATTGATCCCTAACCAATACAATATAACAACTATTTATATAGCATTGCATTGTATTGCTATTATAAGTAATCTAGAGATGATTAGGTGTGTGGAAGGTTGTTTATAGGTTATATGCAAATGTTCTGCCCTTGTATTTAAGGGATTCAGACATCTGTAGATGTTGCTATCTGTGAGGAGTCTTGGAACCAGTCTTCCATGGATACCAAGGGACAACTATATCCTGTTATACATAGACATCCGATGCTCTGGGCACAGTGACACCTCCCTATGATGCCAGCACTCTGGGAGGTGGAGGCAGGGGGACTGTGAGTCCAAGTCCAGCCTGGAAAATTTAGTGAGATTCTGTTTTCAAAATTTTTAAAAAGGCTGTATATGTAGCACAGTGAGTGTGAAGACCCTGGGTTCAATCTCTAGTACTACCACAAGAAAGAAAGAAAAAAAAGCCCAGTGAATAATGTCTTCAATTATATAGTTAACTTCTCCCAGGAAATAGTGTTGGACAAGCTATGATAACCCACCAGGGATCTACAGATTGTTCTGGGCTCCGAGGCAGTATCCCCTAAGACCCTAGGAGGGCTGTCTGTGTTGGGGAAATGACATGAGCTCCTACAGCATTGACCAGCAGGGGATGCAGAGAGACGCCTGATCTCCAAGAACCTTGGTTTGAGCAGTCCCCCTGCTGTATTCTACACAGCTGGGCAGAAAGATCGAGAGGATGCTGATGGTGTTTGACATGGAGGGGTTGAGCCTCAGACACCTGTGGAAGCCAGCCGTGGAGGTTTATCAGCAGGTAGGTAGGCACCTGCTCAGGGCTGGAACAGGAACCTCCCCCCCCCAACCTCCATGGAAAAGAGAGGGAACTGCAGACCAATCAGTGATGCCAGCCTGAAGTGCACTCATCCTCCAAAGAGAGTGAGAGGGACCAGAGACACTCAGAGGAGAGTGTATGCTCTGCTGTTGGGAAGGTGGGGTGGGCTGGGGCTGGGACTCTTGTCTCAACAGCATCCGAAGGTACAGAAGCTGGGCAGAGTGGCACCTGCCTGTACTCCTGGCATTCTGGGATGTTGAAACAGAAAGACCACAGTTGACCAGTCTGGGCAACTGAGTAACTTAGAGAGACACTGTCTCAAATTTTTATTTTATTTTACTTTTTAGTACCAGGGATCAAACTCAGGACCTTGCACTTGCCAGCCAGGCATTTAAGCCACTGAGCTATTATATCCCTGGCCCCTCAAAATTTTAAAAAATAACATTTAAAGGTCTGGAGATGGAGCTCAGTGCAAAGACTCTGGCTCAGTCCCTAGTAACCCTCTCCCCAAAAGCCTGAGAAATCCAGGAGTCTGTGAGTTCTGGAGATTGACCACACTCAGTCTCCTCTCGACTTCACAGTATTTTGCCATCCTGGAAGCAAATTATCCTGAGACAGTGAAGAACTTAATTGTCATCCGAGGTAAGCCCATGGCCTGCATGACCTCCTGGGGGAGGCTGGGGGTTGGGGACAGTAGATGAGCCCTTGAGCCCAGGGCTTCCCCCAAAGTCCTTGTGAAGAACTTGGGTTTTGTGTGGATTCAGTTTGTGCTTTTCATTTCCATCCTTGGCAGACTGATACTTTGCAATATATTGTGCGCAGAACCCTGCACTGGCATGTTGCAGCAATGTACAATAATTCCTAAATTTCTAAGTGTATGCTTATTTCAGCATGGATGGCTGACAGGCAGTCCATGACTGCAGGGCTGATGAGCATCCCCTGAGCAGGGGTGGCCTCCATCTTGGATGGCCATGTGGTGAGGGGCTGCCCGTGTGCCACGGTGCTACATCATCTGGCTTCCAACCTAGCTAACTCTGTGGCTTTCAGTGAGTCCATTTTATCTTGCTGAGCCCCAGTTTTCCCATTCTGTGAGGTGGAGACACTCAGAGGAGAGATGAGGTTAAATGAGATGGTCTCTGAAGGGGTGGTACAGAGTGGGACCCACAGAAAATGCCCAGCGAAGAGACTGCTTCACGGGTCTAAAACAGAACTCCTTCTGCTTGCATCCAAGGAGATCCCAGAGATACCTGGGAAGATCTTGAATGTGAAAAGGAAGAAGTCCCAGGGGGAATCAACATTGCCGACACTATACCCAGCTTGTGGCGGGCGCCTTAGCATGGAAAGGGATACAGCCATTCATTGAGAGCCAGATATTCGTTGATCCAATAGTTATACATACATTGTTCCTTCTCCATTTTATTTTATTTATTTATTTTGAGAGAGGGTCTCACTACATAGTTAAGGCTGCACTTGAACTCACTGCATAGCCCAGGCTGGCCTCGATCTCATAGCAACCCTCCAGCCTCAACCTCCTGAATGCTGGGATTATAGGCATGCACCACCGCGCCTGTCTACCATTTTATATTTTCATATTACTAGCACTAAGAGTCAGAGACGATGAGTCACTCGCTGAAGGTCACACAGCAGGGAGTGGCAGAAGACAGATCTGACGCCTATCCAGCCATAGCTTTATATACCCAAGTTTTCCTCGTCCTCCTGTCTGAGGGAATTTCATGTGTTTCAGCCCCTAAGCTTTTTCCGGTAGCCTTCAACTTGGTCAAGTCATTCATGGGTGAGGAGACACGCAAGAAGATAGTGATTCTGGGAGGTGAGTATCCTGGTCTCCCAGTAAAGCCTTGTCCACCTAACAGGCAGAGGTCAAGGCTAACGGCCCCACTTCTGCCTGGCTCATACTCTTAACCAAGTCACTAACCCTGGCCTAGCCCTGGCACCTTCAAAGTCATGGGCTGGATAGGTGTTAGCCACATAAAGTTCTTGGATACTCTTAGGAGTAGGTACCCAGGGTAGCAAGCCAGAGACCTAGCACTCACATCACCTCCAAGGCCCCCTGTGGATCTCCCTGAGCTCCCTGGGGGCCCCTTTGCCCTCCACATAGACAACTGGAAGCAGGAGCTGACAAAGTTCATCAGCCCTGACCAGCTGCCTGTGGAGTTTGGGGGCACTATGACTGATCCGGATGGTAACCCCAAGTGCCTGACCAAGGTACAGGAGCCCAGAGGATGGAGAGGGAGGGAACCCCTCCATGGCCCGGTGCCTGATCGCTCACCCAGCATCACCCACAGATCAACTACGGAGGTGAGGTGCCCCGGAGCTACTACCTGCGAGAGCAGCTGAGGATACAGTATGAGCACAGGGTGACCGTGGGCCGAGGCTCCTCCCAGCAGGTGGAGAATGAGATCCTGTTCCCAGGCTGTGTGCTCAGGTAGGGGAGGTGGCTGCCCACACCTGGCACAGCTGGAAGACGGCACTCAGGAGCCTGAGTGGAAGGTCGCTGGAGCTCTGTCTGCTGCAGGTGGCAGTTTGCATCAGATGGCGGGGACATCGGCTTTGGGGTTTTCCTGAAGACCAAGATAGGGGAGCGGCAGAGTGCTGGGGAGATGACAGAAGTTCTGGCCAGCCAGCGCTACAATGCCCACATGGTGCCGGAGGACGGGAGCCTCAACTGCCTCAAGGCTGGCGTCTGTAAGAGCTACGTGGTTTGCTGGAGGTGTTTCCCTCTAAGGGCAGAGGAGAGCTGGCTGTCTCTTGCCTGTCCAGCTACTCCTTGTGCCTTCTCTTTCTAACTCTCAGGGATTGCATAGGGGATGATATATGCTTTCAATACCATGGGCTCCAGTGGCACTGACCTCAGGGTCTTGGATCTGAAGAGTGGTCCCTATGGGTGGGCACAAGGGCAGAGACACATTGCTAGGGATTCAGAGCCCAGGGCTCAGCTCTGGGAACTCCTCACACCAAACTCATCAGGATTAAAACAAGGAAATAAACAGCAGCAGGCTTAGAATCAGAGTTTCCAGTTGCATGGCCCACCCCATGGAAGGAATCCTAAGGAGATGCCACTCCTAACTGTTTACCATTTGTCCCCAGGCCTCTCAGGCCACATGCAGTTTGGTCAGTTTTACTAGAAGCAGCATTGCTCAGCATCTGTCAGTTTCCACTGTTACAAGAAAATGTCAGAGATATTCCACTTATAAAGAGAAGAGCTTCATTTTGACCCAATATTAGAGGTTCCAGTCCAGGAGCAAACGGCCTCCATTGTTCTGAGGCCTGTGGTGAGGCTGTACATTGTGGCTGTTGTGATGACAGAGCAAAGCATTTGCATTATAAGCCAGGGAACAAAAGGGAGGAGGAAGGAGCCAAGGTCCCACAATCCCCCTCCAGGCACACCTGGAGCTGAGAACATCCCACACAGCCCACTTCTTCAAGACTGTACCATCTCCCAACAGCACTGACTTGGGTCCCAAACCTCTAACATACAGGCCTTTCAGGGACATTCAGAATCCAGACTCTAGCACCCAGGAACACTGCTGACCTTCCACCTATATAGGGTGCAGAGTGAGGGGATGAGGAACCCAAGGTCAATTTCCTGTGCCAAAGGAAGGTACAGTGCTAAAGCTGACACTACTAGCCCAGCTCGTGGAAGGGGAAAATAGGACAGTGGAGACAGAGATATCCAGGCAACTCACTGTGCCCCAGAGCTCCCAATAGACCTTGCCACGGTAGGAAACACCTTCCACCTAGGAGCTGGGAAGCTGGCTTATGTAGCTCAGTGCTTTCCTCTGGAGGAAGTGGGGCTGCCCTCTGGATTGGAACAGTGTAATAAGGGAGGTGTAGCCCTTCTCTGCCCTTGCTGTGTGGTTACTGGAAAGTCATCATGTGTATAACCTCAGCTTTCTTATCTATACAGTGGAAGTATTAGTCAACTTTCTGTCACTATAACAAAATACTTGAGGAAATTAACTTATAACAAAAATGGTTTATGTTGGCTCATGGGTCTACAGGCTCCAGTCTAAGACCTAATGGCCCCATTACATTGTGCCTTTGGCGAGAGCAGCACGTCATGGTGGGAGAACATGATGGAGCAAAACTCACATCCCAGGCCAGGAAGTAAAGAGCAAAAGGAAGGAAAAGATTGGGGTCCCCAAGTCCCCAGCAAGGGCACATCTCCAATGACCAAAGGGCCTCCCAAGAGAGCACCTCCTAAAGATTCTGCCTCCTCCAGTAGTGCCATTCTTGGACACCATGCATTTACCTCAAGGGCCTTTGGAGCATGCCTATGTAAACTAGCAGTGGGGATGCTGCCTTCTGCCTGGGAGTCACGACAGGCTGAGGTAAAGCCCACTACTCAGAAGGGGCTACCCAGCATGCGGCTGGGTCTCATGGTCCTGGATCAGCACAGGCATCATTCAGGAAGTGGGAGCGAGCAGTGGACTCAGATTGGGCTGCACTAACCCTCAGACCCACCCGTAGCTCTATTAGTCACTCCCAAGGGCTGACTGGCTTGGTTCTGGGCTTGGCCTATTGACCCCTCTGTCTTCACAGATGTCCTGCGTTTTGACAACACCTACAGCCTGATACACACCAAGAAAGTCAGCTACACCGTGGAGGTGCTGCTCCCTGACAAGGCCTCTGAGGAGAAGCTGCAGGGTCTGAGATCAACGAGACCCTCCCCAATGCAGTGAAGACCCTGGCCACCTCTGCACCTGTTCCCTCCGACCCCTTTGCAGCCCCCTGTCTGCCCCTGCCCTCCAGGTGGTGCTAACAGTGGCCACAAAGAGCCACTTACCCTGCATCACCATCTCAGCCACTGTGTGCCCCCTTGGCACAGGGGCCACGCAGGAACGGGGACAACTAGTGCTTAGGTCACCCTAAGATTCAAAGGAGCATTTTGTCCCCTTGTCTTAGAGAATGGAAATGACAACAATACCGAGGAGAAACCTGGGTTTACAGCTTCTGCCTGCAGAAGCTGCCTTTCAGTCTTTCTGATGAGGCTTACTTATCCCAGGATTGACCTGTGCCGGGTTTCCCAGTTAGGGGTGCATGAGTGCCAGCAAGGCCCCCAGCTTTGGGCCTGAGGAGCAGAAAAGCCCCATTCTCTGCACACTGAAGGTCAGAAAGGATGGGCAGAATCATCAGGAGGCATCGGGGGGGGGGGACCTAAGGCAAGTGAGGGTCCAACTTTCAGCTGAGCATCGAGGCCTCACCAAGCTTGTTCTGCTACCTTGGGAGGGAAACATCAGAAATGGGGTGGCAGGACCAAGTAGCAATGACATCACAGCATGGTCAGCCCTGCAAAGCTCCAGTGGCCCCCTCCCTCCATGCTGCTGGTGCTCAGCTGGGCTTTCCAGCCTGAGTGAGGCCCAGACCAACCCAGAGTTAGAGGGAAGGTTCCAGAGATGAGATGCAGCCTGTGAGCTGCCACTTGTGATGCCCATCCTAGACTCTGACCCGATTCTTGAAGAACTGTTGAGTTTTTTTCTCTATCTTGGTCTCCCCAGGAAAGTCTGGGCCATGTAATCCAGTAGCCAGCCAATATTGGCTTCTCTACATGGTTGGTCAAAGGCTGGCCCTCCTGGTGTCCACAGCCTACATGCAGGATGACCATATCTTGTGCTTTTGGGTGGACTCTACCCAACAGGGCAGAGCTTGCCTAGGAGTGAGCCGAGGAAGTCGCCCAGTCCGGATTGGTGGGTTGATTCCAGAAGGCAATGAAGCCAGTGCCTAGGCCTGAGGCACTGGCGGTACTGCCCTGAGCCTCCCCACTGCCCTCTGGCTGGACCAGGACAGTGGCCACCAGTATCTCAAAAGACTTGTGTTCTGCCCATGTGGCTCAGCTCCCAGCTCGAGTTCATTAATCCTGCCCTCCTTGTTTGTCCTGCCCTATTGTGCCAAAGGGCAAGAGTCCTGTCCTCCACTCTGGGAGGAGTCAGATGTCCCTGTAAAATGGGTCCCTGCCTCAAAGTATCAACACTCTCTCTGCCAAAGACCCCTCCCAGAGGCCAGGAGCCTCAGTACACACTGCCTGTCCAAGGACCTCACAAGTAAGAAACCAAGCTGCAGCCCTTTCTGCTCCTAGATTCTGGGATTTCATCCCCCTCTTCCAGTTAATAGGTGATTTCTTCATTGTCCAGGATGCATTTTAAAAGAGAAATAATGATGCTTGGAAAGATGGGGCGTCTTCAAGGCAGTTACACAGCCCTAGGGGCCAACTGCAGCATTCACAGTTTAGCAGCAGAGCAGCAGATCCGCTGCCAGAGAAAACACTCAACACCTAAAGTCATCCATGAAGCATGCGAGTCCACAGGGATTTAAGGAGACTGGCAAGAGAACAAACAGTGGTGACTCTGGCTCCACAGAGACTGCTGGGGGCTGTCAGGCAGGCCTTACAAGATGTTCTCAAGTTAAAGGGCTGCCCCATATCCAAGATGTGACACATTTCCATGACCCCTTTGCACCTTGTGTCCACTTTCCCTGCTGCCTCTCCAATGGCACTTGGGCTTCCAAAACTCTATGCCAGAGAGGGTGGTCATCCCGCTTTGGGAGGAGCCTCTCGTTGCTTTCCCTTAGCCCGCCTGTGGCCATGACAGAGACTTGAAACAACTGAGTTCAGCCTTCCCTTCACCCCTGGCCTAAAACCAGGTGTCTGGACTTGAACCCTGATCTTTGCCCTTCTAACCACACACAGCCAATTTTAGGTCAACACAACCCCCACCAGTTTCCTGGCAGATCCCAAAGATTGTTCCGTCCCCTGCACACGATCACCTGAGGCTCTAAGCACAGACAATAGACACAGATGGTTGATCTGGGTACTGGGCAGTGAGCACTTGGCCACCTTCACAGGTGACAGTAGTACCTCCTACCTGGCCCAGGAGGCAGGGACACAGTAAGAGCTCAACAGGAACACGTTCTCAGCATATCCCATTCTAATATTTTTTTCTCTTTTGGAGACTAAACCCAGGACCTTTGCACTGAGCTGCAACCCCAGCCCCTTTTCAATTTCCAATTTTGAGACAAGGTCTCACTACATCAGTTTTCCAGGCTAGGTTTGAACATGTAATTTTCTTGCCTCAGCCTCCCGAAGTACTGGGATTACAAGCACGAGCCATAAGGTCCATCCAATCTTAATTTTTAATGCTTTTTGCTTTACAATTGACAAAGAAAAAGAGGAGAAAATTTTGATCAGAGGATGGCACTGTCCTGCCCAAAGTACACTTCTTCATTTACCCATTCATTCTTCAACATTTACTAAGTATCTGCCCAGCATCAGGCACTGCAGACCCCAGGGACACCAAGGACACTGGGATGATTTTTGTTAATGGGAAGCTGGCCCACAATGAGGAAGGCAGAACTGACTGCAGCAACCAAATGCACCAACCTAGCCGGGTGCAACAAGCAGTACAACAATCAGCAGGCTGAGGCAGCAGCATTGCTACAAGTTCAAGGCCAGCCTTGACTACATAGTAAGTTCAAGGTCAGCTTGGACTGCATAGTGAGACCCTGTTTCAAAAACATCTATAAATGTGTACCTTCTGTCATCATGTCTATTTGGGGGCCAGTAGCTGAATTCTGTGGGAGTATCCAACAAGCAAGATACCAAATGAGCTTTGCCTCAGAAGGTGACCACCGAAGGGAGAGAGGAAGGATGCGTGGAGGTGACCAGGTGCTGGGGTGAGCCTTGCCGTCTGAAGAATGGGGTGTGGGTGGCCAGGGAGTGTCTGGGGCTATAAGGCTGCAATGCAAAAGGGCTCTCCTGGTGCTGGCTGGCAGTGGTAACAACTCCTTGGCATTTGCTAATCTTCATAAACAACTGTGCACACATTAGATGATTCTTAATAAAACCACGTTATAATCCAGGTTATGAAACAGCCTTCTTGTTTGTCAGGAAAAAAGAAATGACAACATTTTGGCAGGAGGCCACAGATCTAAATTCTTGTTTAAGGTGAGGTGCTGGAAATATCAAGGCCTCACCTATCCACAAAACAGAAAGGGCCTGCCCTTTCTAGCTGTTCCCTCTCAGAACTACTCTCAGTCTTTGAGGGGAAGCAGGTGGGGGACATATGAGGGTATTTTATGGCACCTGGAAAGGCTCCTCTGTCCTCCAAGTCTCTGGCCTAGCCCAGTTCACCTTCCAAGGAATCCAACCCAGGACACCACTGTGGAAGTCACTGGCGTTCAGAGCAGGCCTTCCAGAGAGCTCCGTGACATAGCACTCTACAATTTGCACATCATCTTTCTCTAACTTTTTGTGATAGACATGGACAGGGATTGTAGCCTCAACTTATAGACCAGGAAGCTGAGCCTCAGCTAGGGAGAAGGTTGAGGTGGGCATATGGGTCCCTGACAGGAAAGGGGCACACAGTAGGACAGAGGGATGTGTGAGGTTCCTGGGGTGGAGGGAAGGCAGAGTCTGGAGAAGTTTTGTGCTTCTTTATGGCAAGTAGCAGTGGTGATTCACTGCTCATCATCTGCTGTGTACCAGGCCCAAGCAAGAAGCATCATCCCATCTTACAAATGAGGCTCAGGACAGGAAGTGTCCTTGCTTGTCACTCAGCAGAAAAAGGAGGAAGTAAGGTGTGAATTTTAGTCCATCTGTCCAGTGAGAGTAGAGAGGGGTTAGGCTTGCTAGATGCAGAGGAAGTTCCTTGGCCGCTTGGAGCCTTACAACTACCCCAGGTGGCAAGGTGACCTCTCCCTTCAGCCAGCAGGGGGCAGTGTTGGGTCAGCCACCCCTCAGCCTGCTAGGAAGGTAAATAGGGCCCCTTTGAAAGCACCCTACTTAGGGAAAGGCCTCCTGACAAGTATGGTGGAGTGGAGAGGAAAAGTTTACCAGGCTCAGGCTTTTTGAAGTGACATGAAGTGCATACTCTGGTTTCTCTTCAGATCGTATAAATCTTTCGTCTGAAGTGACATGAAGTGGCAGGGAGGCGTGTTCTCCCTCAGTTCCAGACCTAGCTCTGCTGCTTGCCGACTGGACTCCAGCTTCTGCCCCCTCATCACTGTCCTATCACGGCCTTCACTATCACCGGCTTGGGTTGCTAGGAGTCCATGAGTCTCCTTGTGCCTGGTCCTACCCTCTCCCCACCAGACTCCACGGGGAAGCCATATAATTCTAAAATGAAAAATCAGATCACATCTCCCCTGTGTAAGGTCTTCATCAGTTCCCCATTTCCTCCTGGGTGAAATTGGTCTCTTCGGTGTCTTGCAAGGCCCTCTGTGACCTTGACCAGTGTACCCCTGTTCCAGCTTCACCTGATGACCTGAATTTACTAATTCAGGAAGCTCCTTTCTGCCTCCCATGTGGGCCTACCAGAATCCAGGTTCTTTCTCCATACTGTGGAGCAACTGGGCCAGCACTTATCGCAGGATGGAGCATCAACTGCCTCATGTCTGTCTCCTGTTCACTTGAGCAGCTATCCCAGGCTGCACTTTGCAGGTGCTCCATAAATCCTAGGAAAAATCATAGATCCTATTTACTGAATGTCTACACAGATCTGCTGCCCTAGCCAGCTACTCGTGGTCTCCCATTTTACATGGGAGGAAAGTGAGTCTCAGAAACAGTCACTGGCTCACTGAAGCTCAGAATCTCTGACTCTACAGCCATGTGTCAGCTTTCTCTCACTATAACTAAATACCTGAATCAATTTATAAACAGAAAAGGTTTACTTGGGCTCAAAGTCCTAGAGGTTCCAGTTCAGAATCCATTGTTTTGGGCCACTGCTGAGGCCAGCGCATTGTGACAGGGTAAGAAATGTGTCACAAGGTAAGAAACAGAAGAGGAGATTGGGACCCCATAAACCCCTTCAACTCCCAGTGACCTAAATATTTTCTCTGCTCCTAACGGTTTCATTATTTCCCTACAGTTCTGAAACAGGCAAGAAAACCCTGACTCTTCCTTTTTTCCTGTGTGGCTCGAAAGGGGCATGTCTTGGCCAACAGCTGTCACATCCTTACCCTCTTCTGTCAGCCAAGACACCCCTGTCCCACTCGAAGTCACTCTAGAAGTTGCCGCCTTTTTGAACAAGTGGCAGGGAAACCACTGCTAGTGTGGAGGGATCTGGGCACATTTTAACTATCCTCAACCCAATTTGGCTAAGCAGAACTGAATTTAAACTCATCAGTAGGTTTGGATTGGAAGGTCTGGGCTTGCTTAGAACAATCTGGTACAATCAGCAGGCTCAAATTTGGACCAATAAACAGGTGTAAATATGGAGCACTCACAGGTCTGCTGCCATTATGTAAGCAGCACTCCCTTCACACTTATTGCGTTGGTCTAGGCCTTTGGGGGGAGGGAGGGAATTGCCATGTAGTTCAGCCTGGCCTTGTGCTCACTGCAGTCCTGTTGGCTTGGCCTTCCACATGCTGGGATTACAGTCATGCAGTAGCAGGTCTAGGGAAGAGCTCCTTCTTTTTAATTCACTGACCCAGCAAAGTTCCCATTCAAATACGCTTCACTCTGATGCTCCTGTAAACTTCTCTAATTTATTTCTTAGGTGATGTAGGCTCAGAAAGTCCTTTAAGTCTTCTTGGGATTCTTGTCCTGAGTAGAGTGGACAGAGCAGAGCAATTGCTTCTGAAAAGAGCTATAAACAACTTGGTTCCTGAAGAGCTCCAGAGACCAGCAGCTGCCAGAGGCAGGATCAACCAGTGACATATAGAATAAGCTAGTGGCAGCTGGAGGTAGCAGAAATCAGCCACTGGAGGTGTTGACTGATGATGACTGTCACTAACTCTGTCAATTGGTGGCACCAATGCTCAGAGCTGTAACACCAAGGGCTGAAAGTCATGGGCACTCAACCCACAGAACCAGTAGCAGAGCTGATTCTGATCATGAATCAAGCAAGAGAGCCCTCAGTCAATGGGCAATAGCCCTACTCTGCTGATCAAGTCTTTAACACAGGCCTTTGGGGGGACAGTCATCAAACCCACAATACCTTTCTTGGCTTATTCACCCCCAGAAATCAGGTTATTCCAGGAGGTAAGATTGTGTTACAGGGCAGAGTCTGATGCCATGAATCAGCACCCCAGAAAGACCTAAGGAGTAGGTTAAGCAGGGCAGCCACAGAGCATGGAAGAAGAACCAGAAAAAACAAACTTGCGTACCTGTATCCTCATGCTGGAGTTGATGAGAGACTGGGTGGCTGGCCCAATTATAACAGCAAGAGCCAACATAAATTGATGCCTTGCCACATGCCAGGGGTGAGGAAGGCACCTTACTGGCTTCTCTATGGGCCAGTTCAGTAATCCTATAAGAAGTCCCAATTTATAGAACAGCAAAGTGAAACTCAAGGTCAGCTAACACATAGGAGATATATTTAAGATTCAAACTCAGGCCTCTACATTTCAGGTGTGGTTTCATATGGTGTTTCAGCACCACACATTTCTAAACTCTGGGTATTATTTGCTTAGGATTGAGATCAGTACTACGTATTGGGTGTTATTTCCTAAATATTTGTGGTGGATAGTTAATTGGTGGTCAACTTGCTACACCCAGCTGAATTAAACTAGCATGGCACTGGGTGTGGGAGGCCCACCTGAGGGTTTGCCAGCAGCATAAAGGCAGAACAGGAGAAGAAGCTGCTGAAACACTGTTAGGGATGCTGTTCTGAGAAGCTGTTGGAAGCCGCTAGTTCTCTTGGGCTGTTCTGCTGGAGGACTTTGTCATGCTGGCTTTCGTGATGAACTTTGGAGAAGCTTGGTTCCTCATCTTGAGTATTCTTGGCTCTGGAGGGGAAGATGGTGCACTGCTCAGCCTCATGAAGCTTGTCACACTGGCTTTCCTGATGGGAACTCAGCTTTCCTCATTGCTAGAGGAGCTGGGGCCTTCACTGTCGCTGAGGATGGCTGTGGTACTTTTGGGGGAGCTCTGGTGCTTACCTAGAGTGTTGCTTCCTGGCTCTAGTTCAGATCCCTTAGCTGCTAGCACAGATCCTTCATCCCGCTGGCATAGACCTCCTAGCTTCCACCACCCTAGAGACCTTTGGGCCTTTCCAGCAAA